CGAGAATGGTCACCCATGGTGGACAGTGTTTGGTGGAGCTCCCCGATTAAAACAAGCTTGGAAGCAGGAGTGGCACCCACTTCCAAAATGGCTTGTCTCCAGAAATCCTATGAACTTGGAGAAGCAATGAAAGTTATCCAAGTGTTCAGGACTTTCATTCATAGGGTCGCTATGAGTCATCTTTGACTCGACAGCACTTAACAACCACCACCACCAGATGGAGCAGATCACGGGTAATTGCTGCCGTCTGGTGCTGTGGCTGGACACCTCGTCATGTGCCACTTTTGTGGCTGTCGCTGCCCATTGCTGTGGTCACTGTGGGCTGAACAAGAAGGTAGGCGTATGTGTGTAACTGCAGAGACCACACAGCTCGTTAAGCCACTGGTGCAGGATTCGAACCCAAGAAGTGTGGCTCCCAGCTCTGCTCTGTGCCCTCTGCAGCTGCGTCCAGGCTGCCTCTGGGCGTCTTCTGTGTTTGACTGTGAGGGTCTTAATCCTTGAGTATTAAGTGGGACCTATCAATGCTCCCAGAGGTGGTTAGGTGTGCCTTCAAGGTGCCTGTGACTCATAGTGACCCTATGACCAATAGATCTGATCTTGCTCCATCTTGCACCATCAAGGCTACCAATGGAGGTGAATATAAAAAGTAGAAATGAAGCTTCCTGCTACAGTTGAGTCTAAGTCAGTGCTCCTTAGAGGTAAGAATGGTGAAACCCTGTCTCACAGACTCTGGGCATGTTGTCAGGAGGGAGAGTCCTTGGAGAAGGACTTCATGCTGGGAAAAGCTGAGGGTCAGTGAGTGTGGAAGACCCCTCGGGATGAATTAGCATCGTGACCACATTGATGGCCTTGAACAAGGCAGAGATTATGAGGATGGTGCAGACCTGTTGTTCATAGAGTCACACGAATTATAATCAGCTCGATGGCGCCTCACAGACCAACAACACATTCTGATACAGACACAAGTTTAGGGACCCTTGAGACACACAAAACAAAACCTGACACAGAGGAGGCACTTAATAACTCTACAGGCTCCATATTACACAGACCAGATGGAAAAGTAGAGGATCACTAGGATTCACAGCACCCTTGGATAAGTTAAAAATAGCAGTATCCACCAGCTAGAGTTAGGGAGCTCAGTTGGCCTAGTGGCAAGAAGCTGTGCTGCAATTCCAAAGGCGTGTGGTTCGAATCCACTTCTGAAAACCTGCTGGAGAGTCAGCTTTGAGTTCATTCTGACTTGACAGTACCAAACAACAACAAGGGTAATTGGAGGTGGCAGGACTGGTCTAGTCTTGCTTTCCCAGAAACAAAGGCTTGATTTGCAGTAAATGAAACTAATGCACTGCCACCACCTGGTTGTCAGGGGAGGACTGTATACTGCTATGAGGTTAGAGAGGTACCAGTAAGTTTCCAGATGAAGACTGACTAGGAAGAAAAGTCTGGCAACTTTCTTCTGAAAAATCAAAGCATCCAGAATCCTAATGGTCACAGTGGTCTGATCCACCACGGGGGGCCGCGTTTTGTTCTATCACATATGGGGATATGGTGAGACTGGGGCTGGCCTGACAGCAACACCCACCACACAGCAGGGTCCTGGGGAGGAGGACCTGGAAGAGCACACATGGCTGGCAACACAAGCAGCTGCTGATCCTGTCAGCACCAAATCAAGCCCAAGATGACCTCTCTCTGCCCCCGTCTCCATCCACAACCTCCAAGGTCCTGCTTCTCAGGTCCAGAAATCACACAGCAGCCTCCAGATGGTACCCATCCCACCTCTCTGCAGTCTGGTGTCTGCATTTGCATGTCTCGCATGTCACACTCAGCCCAGAATCTTCCAGTGATGCTCCCTCTCGCTTTCCAGCAAAATCCAAGTCTGTCTGGCCTGTTCTCTTGGTCGCTTCTCCTTCTCCTGAGGTGAATCAGTTGACCCCCAGGTCAACCGAACCCTGAAATGGGACCCCTCGCATTGTCTAGCCCACCAGTAACCCCAGGCCATGATGACCCTGTGTGTTAGTGTAGAAGTGCGCTCCAGAGGGCTTGCAGTGGCCGAATGCTTGGGAAATAGATCACCAGGCCTTTCTTCTGAGGTACCTCTAACCTTTTCATTAGTGACTGATTGTGGAACGTCTCTCTTTGATTCGTCACCTGAATCAAGGTAGGTGGTGATTCTGTTTATTTGTTACCTTATTTGCTTGACTCTCCCTCCATTCGAAGCAAGGTCCACAAAGGGGACTATCTCACCTGCTTTATCACTAACTATTACATGTCTTGGTGGTAAGACGCTGAGCTGTCATCCTAAAGGCGTGCAGTTCGAATCCACCAGCTGCTCTGTGGGAGTAAGATGGGCAATCCCCTCGCATGCGATTGCTGCCTCTGAAAATTGGCTGGAGGGTCAGTTCTGGGTCGGTTCCCGCTCAATGGTACACAACAGTGACAACCATCCAGCACACCAGCAGTCTCGGTGGTGCAGTGGTTCCGTGACTAACCAAAAGACTGGCCGCTCCAACTCCTCCAGGGGCTCCATGGAGGATTGACTTGGAAATCTGCTTTTTATAAAGCCTAAAAAAACAATAAAAAACAAACCTCAAAGGAAAAACCCCCCAACAACCTCACAAAATAAACAAACAAACAAAAAACCCCTAGCAATCAAACAAACAAAAAACCCTCCAACTCGTTGCCTTGGAACTAGAATTGACTCATAGCTGACCTTCCAGCAGGTTTTCAGAGGCAGTAAATTGCCTGTGAAATTGGGAGGAGACTGCCCATCTTTCTCCCATGGAGCAGCTGGTGGATTCGAACTGTGTGCCTTTGGGATGGCAGTGCAGCTTCTTTCCATGAAGCCCCCAGAACTCCAACATATCAGCTAGAGATGCACAAAGACTTGACGAATGAATGAATAAAATCGCTCAGCGCCATGTCCAGCACTCTGGACTCAGGCAGCAGCAAACTTCGCTTTCTCCCCTTTCTTCCCTCCCTGGCCCCGCCACCAGCCCTCTGTCCCTGGAGCTGCAAGCAGAAGACAAACACCGTCCATCGGAGCGGACACGCAGCGAAGCCCAATGTCATCGCTGCTGTATTTGATTAGCTCCAACTCCGGTGTCCGGGACACGTGTGCTGGGAGCCAAAGCAACTAACTGTACCCTGACCTCTGGTCCACGCGATTCCATCCTTATAACCATTTCCATGACAACAGCAGCGGAGCGCCAAGGCTCTGAATTCCCTTTGATAGGCAGAGATGAGGGGGAAGGGCTTTCAGAAGAAAGAGGCTCTTTGATTCTACTCAAGGCGGCTTCATTAAATACCACTATTTTTCCAAGAACACACATTTTAACCCTGTGGAGGGAGCGTCCACGTGAAGATGAACAGAGACGAGAAGAAAGAAAGAAAGAAAAAAAAACCAGCTGCCTTGACTCACTCTCGAGAACCTTCACCTGGGAGGAGAGGAGGGCTGGCTGGGATGCTGGCGTGCCTGGGCCATCTTCAAGGGAGATGGGCAGGCCGCGGGATGCTCTTCATGACCCCGTGAGACCAGCTGACAAAAGGCATAAGTGGTGATGCTCTCAGCAATGTGGTCCAGGAGGAAGCCTGCCCGGCATAGCTCATCCAATCAAGTGTATGACTAAGGTGACATCCGTGCATTCACCTTTCCACGTGGGCCTCGCTCTCCATGGGGGTGACAGCAAATCTTCAGGCCCCGTGACGTCATTCTTCCCTGCTGAGTTCTGATCCACTTTCCACACCCTGCTGGCACCCAGCACGGTTCACACCATCATGATGAGGTCCCTTGGCTCCCACCCCTGGACTCACCTCCCATCCGTTCCCTGGCCTGCTCCTCCATCCTCCCTTGGGACAGCCAAGGATGGTGGAGACTGGAAAACCTGGGCTCCAGTCCTGCTTCTATCCCTTTCTAGCTCTGAGATTTTGGTGCTGGACACCTCACCTCCCTGCCACCCAATCACTGGTGAAATGGAGATGCTTCTCCCCTGGCTGGGTCCCCCTAAGAGTTGGGTACCCATAATGTGGATGTAGATCCAGCACCTGATGGGGTTTCCAATGATGAAGCTTCCTATCATCATCATCATCATCATCACCATCATCATCATCACCATCATCACCATCATTCTTTTAACAGGCATCATGTACAAGTTGGTTAAGTAGGATTCACTCATCCCTGGCAAGCCAGAACTGACTCACAATTGATCCTCCACTAGATTTTCCAAGACTGCCAATCATGGGAGGAGCTTGCCCATCTGTCTCCCAAGGAGACGCTGGTGGATTTGAACCACCAGAGAGGTGTGGCTCTGGGCTTAGCAGTACAACTCCCTATAGACTAAGCCACCGGAGCTTCCCTCGATAGGACTGCTGTTACGTTCCATTGAGTCGGAACTGACTCATAGCAGACCCTCCGGATCGGAGGCAGTAAATGGCATTGGGATGGGAGGAGAGTGTCCATCTTTCTCCCGCAGAGCAGCTGGTGGATTTGAACTGTATGCCTTTGGGTGAGCAGCATGGCTTCTTATCACTAGGTCCCCAGTGGTCCCTGAAATAGAGCTCTAGACGTTGTATTTTAGCCTCATTATTATTTCTACATACTCAGCTTTTGTGACCACAAATGTAAGCATGTCCATAGCGTGTGCACGCGCGCGCACACACACACACACACACACACACACACTCTTGCACCCAATCATTTTCATCTCAAGATGCTGATTATCCAGACACTCACGCCTGGCATTGTGTCTCATCTAGCAAGAAGGTAGCCAGCCACCTCACCCATTTAGAAGTCCTTCCTACTCACCTGCCACCTCCCAGGTCCCTTCTCCCAGTCTAGTCTCCAAGCCCCATGCAGGCCATTGAAAGTCAAGGTCCACCCCACGGCCGTGCTCACGGGTGGGAGGAAGGGCCAGGCCACAGCATCGGTGAGCACTTCCGTGACTCCTCACCTGGCTGCAGCATCCTCCCGGCCTGGTTTTTTGGGGGTCCCCCTGCTCACACACCTGGCTGTGCACTTTGTCCAGCTCCTCCTTGCTGACTGACGCCTTGGTGTCCCCCATGGTCCCGAGAAGGAGCTGCACATCGGACAAGAGCGCGTGTGTCCTCTTGAGGTCCCTCCGAAGACGCTTCTCCACGTCGAAGTCCCGGTGGCCGATCTGGAAGCCAAGGAAAGGTCTGTGAGCTTAGGCGGCCAAGCAGTCGCCAGGGACGGAGAGCTCCCGAGTCAGGGTCTCCACTTGCTGCAGCCAGAACTTTGCTGGCCCACACCATCTCTCTGAGCCTGACTCCTTGCCTATGCTGAGAGGACTCAGAAAGGTCCTCCTGACCTCCTCCACACGGACATAAGACGAGAATCAGACGTGATAACACAGCAGAAAGCGCTCTGTAAGCTGTCAACCACTTTACAAATGTAAGGGATTATGGGTATTGGCTGTTGGCCCAGAAGTCACTCCTCCAGCCTTTACCTTACTATTCCTCTACCTCTGGGCTTTGAAAAGTTATCTGGCCCACAAAGTATCTCTTTATTCACAGATGGGTCTCTTGAATCAGATAGATGGAAAGATAGAAAATAGACAAAAAAAGTCAGTCACACACACACACACACACACACACACACACACACACGTCAGTCACAGCTGTGGAGATGAAGCTGATGCATAGCTGACCCTCTGGCAGGTTTTCAGAGGCTAAATTATATGAGAGGAAATCTCCCACTTTTCTCCCCACCGAGCGGCTAGTGGTTTTGAAATGCTAGAGAAGTACAGCCTTTGGGCTAGCAATGCAACTTCCTATGGATGAAAGATAGATGATAGATGATAGATGAGTGGATGGATGGATGGATGGATGGATGATAGAAAAATAGATAAGCAGGCAGGCAAAGATGATAGATAGATAGATAGATAGATAGATAGATAGATAGATAGATATAGAGATAGATAGATAGATAGATAGATATAGATGACAGAAAGAGATAGATATAGATAGATGAGAGAGAGAGAGATGGGTAGGTGAGTGGGTACGTGGGTGGATGGATGGATGGATAGAAAAATAGATAGGCAGGCAGGCAGAGATAGATAGACAGACAGACAGATGGACAGACGGACTTATAGCAAGTAACCATGTCCATCAAGTTGATTCTGACTTAGCCTCCTGAAGTCCACAGACAGGTCTAGGACATGAACTGGCCCCAGGCAACCTCATCCCAGTCATCCAGAACTGTCCAGACTCCCAGACTCCCACTCTCCTCTCTCTGCTCAGATGCCGCCTTCTACCAGTCACTCCCTTTTCCTAGCCTGTTCCCTGAATTTTCTTGTGGTTGAGCGCCGCCGAGATGATTTTGACTCACAGCGATCCCGTGTGTTACAGGGTGGAACGTGTCCCATAGGGTTTCCACACATTTATGGAGCCAATGGCCACACCTTTCCCCCCTCAGAGCAGCTCACAGGTGCAAACTGACAATGAGTCAGTTAGCAGCGGAGCCTCTAAGCACTGGGACAGCCAGGCTCCTTGAGAGACAAATCTAGTGAGACACATTAATACACAGAGAGATACATGCAGATATATTCCATGGGAGAAAAATGGGCAGTCTCCTCCCATGTGATTTACTGCCTCTGAAAACCTGCTGGAAGGTCAGCTAAGTTGATACCACCTCGATGGTACTTAACAACAAAAACAATCTAGATCTAGCTACAGTTTGTAATAGACAGATCTATCTATCTATCTCTCTATCTACCTACCTACCTACCTATCATTTCTCTATCATCTATCTATCTATCTATCTATCTATCTATCTATCTATCTATCTATCTATCTATCTATCTATCTATCTATCTATCTATCTATCTATCTTCTATTATCTATCTATCTATCGATCGATCTTCTATTATCTATCTATCTTCTATTATCTATTTTCTATTATCTATCATCTATCTATCTCTCTCTCTATCATCTATGTTGTTGTGTGCCGTTGAGTCAGAACTGACCCCCTGTTGACCCCACCGCAGGGGAGGAGACTGCCCAGCCTTCTCCTCATGTGTATGTGTATTTATAAATTGCTGTCTAGTCAACTACCACTCAGAGTGATCTTCATCTGACCCTTGCCCTACCTCACACATGAGTCAGTAAGGACATGGCCGTCGTGGGTTTTATGTTTCTCTCTCTCTCTCTCTCTCTCTGTGATTAGCTGAGCTGAGGACCAGGCATGATACCAATCTCTTTGCCACGTTATTCTATCTAACTCCTGTTACAATCTCTTAGAAAGAGCCATCATTATTATTACCTTTATAAATAGCTTGGTTTATGGAGAGCTCCCCAGGGTCAGGCATAGATATGGACACATTCCACCCTCCCAATGGATCGATGAGCTGTGCAGCGTTACAACTCTCATTTTATAGATGGAACTGGGGTTTGCAGAGGCTAGATCACCTGCCCTGGGTCACAGAGCTATGAAGCAGCACAGTGGGAAATGAACCCACGTCTTCGTCTGGGAAAAGGCAGTTTTGGAAAACTATGCTCTAAGAGAGTACACTTTTTTCTCTAATTTAAAAAAAAATAAGCACATGGGAGCAGCCTGGAAACATAGTTCACTGTGGGAACAGTATCCACGAGGTCTTAGGAGACAAGAGGGGAGTATCTGGGTTCAGGAGAGCCCTGGCGGTGTAGTGGTTTAGGACTTGGTGTTAACCAAAAGCTGGTAGCTGTTATTAGGTGCCACTGAACAACTACAACTCCCAGCGACCCTATGAACCATAGATGTCATCGTGGCCTGGACTGGACTGTTTTCACTGTCTCTCATATGCTGGAATCCACCCTGTGGTCACTGTGTCAGTTCACCCGGTTGAGGGTCTTCCTGTCTTTCTCCAGCCCTCCACCTTTCTCAGCTTGATGATATCTTTTTCCAGGGGCTGGCACAACCTTGACATCTTGACAACCTGCCCAGAACCTGTGAGACGAAGTCTCCCCATCCTTCCTCCAAGGTGCACCCTGGATGTACCTCCTCCGAGACAGACCTGTTTGTTCTTAAGGCAGTCCATGGGTATTCCGTGCTCTTCACCAACACCACAGTCCAAAGGCTTGATATCTCTTCAGTCATCTCTATAGTGTCTGACTTTCAAATACATTGAAAGCGACCAAAAACCCCACAGCTTAAATCAGGGGCACTTGGTCTTTTAACACTGCAAGTTTAGTGGTTTAAATCTGCTCAGCCCTCTGTAGAATTAAAGATATGGTTGTCTGCTTCCATAAATATGACAGAATAGAAAAGCCTTTTGGGGGGGGTCTGGTGGCCTCGTGGTAAGGAGCTGCACTGCCAACCTGAAGTCAGGTGGTTCGAATCCACCGGCTGCTCTGCAGGAGAAAAATGGGCAGTCTCTTCCCATGGGAGGTCCTGCCTCTGAAAACACTGGAGGGTCAGCTCTGAGTCAGTTCAGACTGGAAGGAACAGAATAAGCAAACTCTACGGGGAAGTTCTGCTGTGGAACACATGGGGTCACTGAGAGTCAAACCTACTGAACTGAACCCAACCATAAAGCCAGGCGTAAAGTCAGGATGTAGAAGGCAGTGTACGAGCAGAGTGAGGTGAGCAATTGTCAAGGAGATTTCAGTTCTAGACAATTACCATGAGGCGGTGGTTATTAGGTGCCATGGGGTCGAGTACGGCTCATAGTGACTCTACGAACAGCCAACCCTTATGCTGTGCCGTCCTCATCCTCGCTGCTACACTAGAGCCCACTGCTGAAGTCACCGTGTCAATCTATCTCTTTGTTGGCTGGAGGTCTTCCTCTCCTTCACGGATGCCCCCCTCTTTCCAAGCATGATGTCACTTTCCAGGGAATAGACTCGCCTAGATACAAGTATGAAAGATGAAGCTTGGTCCTCTTTACCTCCAAGGAGCAATCTGGCTACACTTTCTCCAAGACATCTGTTTGTTCTTTTGGCCATCCATGGCGTATTCAGTGCTCTTCTCCAGCACCACAACCCGGAGGCATCAGTTCTTCTTCTGTCATCCTTATTCACAGTCCAGCTCTCTCTGTGAAGTATAGCAGCTAGTGGATTCAAAAGGCGTATTTTGGGTGGGCAGCCTAACTCCTCACCACTAAGCCAACAGAGCTCCTTAAAGTGCATGCGTGTCTTCAGAGGAAGCCAATCACACAGGAGGAGATTGCCCATCATTCTCCCGTGGAGCTGTTGGTAGATTCAAACTGCATGCCTTTGGGATTGCAGCACAGCTTCTTGCCACTCAGCCACCAGAGCTTTCACTCTCTTTTAAGGCATCTTGGCCCTGGGTACATCATCCCTGGATGTTAGCATTGAGCACCTAATGCGGACAGCTCAGATTCCACTCCCTTCCCAGCCAGAAGATGCTGGCATCGTCGCCTTCCCAGAGGGCACGCTGCCAACAAAATTCACAGCACAATCCCACGTCAAGTCATCTCCCCCTCCACAGTGACCTGCTGTAGAGCAGGGCAAAAAGAAAGAAAGAAAAGAAAAAGCAAATCCATTAGGCTAATGGGAAATAAATGCCAGGCTGCAGGTTTGCATTTTTTTTTCATTTTCAGTTTTTAATGAAGTTGTGTTAATATTTTTTACTCCTGCATCTTCTCAATTGTTCTTCCTTATATTTGCTTGCCCTTTTCTTTTCCAACTTGGCGGGATTTAGCTTTACATTCAAGGACCTTTTTTCTGTCTTTATCCAGTTTTAGCTTTGATAACCACCTTGCTGGGGTGAATGCCCACATGGACCGTTGTGCCATTAGCTTTTTCTCGCTGCACTCATTCGATGTAGATGACATATTTCTTCCTGTAAACCTGGACCACTTTGCCAATTTGCTGACCTTTATAGTGCCCTTGTACAACCTGAACTTCATCATCCTTTCAGATGGGCATGGACCGCACGTTGTATTTCTGCCTCCGCTCCTTGGACAGAGGAGAAGACATAATCTTCCTTCGAACGTGAGAGGGTGCATTGAAGTGCCTTTTACGGTTTTGCTCCGGTCAGAAGTCACAAAAGGATTGAACTTCAATTTGGCCGCTGCCGCTTCAGCGATGGCCACAGCAGGTGAAAGAGCCAGTTTGCATTTTATAGGCAAGATTCCAACTTAGATGGAGCCAGTGAATAATTAATAGGTAAATTTAAATGCTGTTTAGTGTTGTTGTG